GCAAGCCACGGCAGAGCAATGCCAGCACGGAAATCTTGAGCTGTGGCGCCTAGCAACGCAGCCAGGTCGTCCACGTACGTCGGGTCGTCCGACCCCGTGATGTTTTCAAGGGCGCAGATGAGGGGGTCGTAGCCCAGGCACCAGAAGCGGGGAGGCAGTGCGCAGTGCCCCCCATTCCGATGGAGCGAAGGAGCCTCCTTATCCTGCTCTTATATTTTCCATTGCAGGTGCGCACATTTCTGCAGCTGACCAGGGCGTCCACTGAGTGAAGAAGCCAGCTGGGGAGTTGCCATCGATCCGTCAACTGCCCCATCCACTGCAGGGGATATACGCTCAAAGGCTTTGCTTTGGTCGCAGAAGAGGACGGCCGTGCTGGGGGCTGGGCCCAGGGATCGAACAGCGTCTTGTATGTGCTGGTCCACGGCCGCCTGGTGCTCGCCTAGCAGGGCTGCCCACATTGGCCCAGGTTCGGTGTCGGGCGCCGGGTCCAGGGCAAGGTGGTTAGTGGCAGCTGTGATGTTGGGGCCACACTGCCCCCCTCGCTTGGCCGCTTGACTAGGGCTGAGTCTGGGCTCGATCACCGGACCTAGCTGGTCAGCAATGGTCGCACCGTGCAGTCTCCGTAGGCAGGTGGGGAGCTGCAAGGGTCGCATGTCGCTCGGCATTTCGGCAGCGGCCTCTTTGCCAATCCAGACCAGCAAATCGATGGAAGGGCCTAGGACCAGGTCACTAAGATCCGGGTTCAGGTCAGCAGCATGCCAGGCCTGCGCGAGCAGGCAGGCGACGAAGCGGGCCCCAGGGTGGTACAGTTCATACGGTTCCCCATCCACTCCAGGAGCACTACCACTTGGGCCCAGGACGAGAGAGGCAACCTGCCCCACTGCAGGTTGGGGGAGTCCGGGAACTGCCCGAGTTCTTTGCGCCGGAAATATTCGTCGAGGATTCGGTCCGCGGCTGGGGGAAGGGGGGGAGCAGTTTGCCAAATATGGCTACGGCTCCGCCAGAGGACGTCGTCGACTTCCTTCGTACGCTCATTCCATCTCCCATCAGTGTCACGCACACCAAGAATGGCGTGCGTTTTGACGAAGATCTCTCGGCCCGTGCAGTAGTGCGAGGCGAGGGCCCGGCGCTCGACGCCGGGGCCCCTCTGTGCGGGGGTGAGCCGGGCCGCCCGCCTCTGAGCGGTGTCATTGTCCCACTTTCTCAACCAGGTGGCGGCCTGTTGGGGGGTCAGGTCGTTGCCGTCCCAATCGTACATGTACCCCCACAGGGCGCGTGCTGGATTCGGATCTCGCCGCTGCAGCGAGGAGAGTACCCGGAGAGCGGTTGGTCTTGTTCCTGCGCCACTTCCTCCACCAGTCCTGGATGGCCGCCGACATGGCGTGACGACCAAGAGTGAGTAGCGCAGGAAAGAGGGGGACAGTGTGGTCGTCAACCTGGGGAGGGGGCGGAGGCGGAGCTGAAGGCTCCTGCTCCATTTCTCCTTCACCATCGTCGTTGTCCCTGTGTCTCGCTGGGAATTGGCCCGGGGCCGCCGGGCGGGCCCAGTCGGCGGGCTGCAGGAGCCCGGTCAGGTCAACGTCGGGCAGTCCGAAGGTACGCTCGAGGAACGTGTAGATGGCTCTTAGCTCTGCGTGCGCCTCGTCCTTCAGAAGGCGCAAGTCACCAGCCCGCATGGTGTTGTCTCTGCGTGTTCTGGGGGCGCCCTGAGGTTCCAGGTACATGATGGCGTGGTCCGAAACGGACGGTTTCCATGCTTTCCTGACTCCATATGCCCCAAGCTGTCGGTAAGGACAAGCGACGATATCAATTTGCGACTCGTTGTCTGCGTCGACCCTCGTGGGGCCGTCGCAGTGGCAGATGCAGGATCCTGTCTGGGCGAGCAGATCGGTGAGAGCCGCGGCATCGTCGGTTTCGCCTTCCCTGGGGTTGTCAACCTGTATGTCCACGTCACCGCCCCAGAAGGTGGGGGTGTCATCCCATCTCTCGATGGCCTGGCGGATGGCATCTATGGTTTCGGTCTTCCTAGACGGAGGGAGATACACCGACACCAGGCGGTAGACGTTTTCACCTTGTCTAATCGTGGCAGCAACGGCGCACCCAGGGACAAGATCCTCGGAACGAATAAGCGCAGCACCGTGCGGGATGAGGATCGCCACCCCGCCGGCGCGGCCTCCGGCCGGTCCTATGTAGGCAGGCGATGCTATAAGCGTGCGAGCATGGAACATGGTGGACCAGACCGCCGCTTCATGCTCAGTCCAATGGGTCTCCTGAATGAGCCCAATTCTCCCGTTGGTGGTCAGCTGCGTCAGAAAAGCGTGCTTGATCATGTTCTTGTGTGCTGTCGTACTCTTGAAGTATCTGACGTTCCAGCAGCCAAGTTTAAGCGTACCGCGCTATGTGGCACTAGCTATTGCGTCGACAAGGCTCCGTAGAGACCGGTCCCCACACATGTCCGCCCATGTGGGATTGGCCCAGGCGGTGGCGTGCAGGTAGGCCCAGAGGGACCGTGGCCGCCTGACGGTATAGTTGCAGTGCGGTGCTAGGGCACGACCCAGGGATGAGCAGGCAGCTTGCCACGCACTAGTTCTCGCCCCCGGTACGAGGTTCGTGGTCGGGGGGGACCCGAGGGCGCGATATAGCGACCCTGGGTCCTCAGGCGAGTCTAGGGGAACGGCGGTCCGGGCGGGAAAAGTTGCTGCCGCTGCATTGTTCGTAGTATGTCGTCTGGAAAAGGGGGTTCCGCGAGGGGTGCCCATGGGCAGTTTCTGCCCGCGAAGCTGCGCGCCTGCCTCCATGCGGCCCACACGTGCCTCTCGGTCGGTGCTGTGTGCTGCTGGTGGGGATACGCGAAAAGTGAAGAATTAGGAATACCTGTGAAATACGATGGTCAGTAATCGTATTTTCATGATAGATTCGCATATGATTATTATTATTTTCAGCAGCCCCTGAAGTATGATTAGCAGAGTAGTGTTACGATTGGCAAAAACAGCAAGAGTCACACTACTCGAATAGCTGCACGGTTCTTAAATATATCCATACCCGTCACCGCAACTTCAGCACGCAGTGGAGAGTCCCAAGGCTCATGCAGCCCTGCAGCCCCGAGAGGTAGGAGGGGCTGAAAGGGTCTCAAGGGCCCCGACCCCTGGCTTTCAAGCTGGTTTGGGGAGCTCTTGGAAGCTCCTGGGAGCTCTTGAGAGCTTCCGGGCGCTCCCAGAAGCGACCAAGAAGCGACCAGATGCGTCCAAGAGGCCTCCAAGACGGCCCAAGAGCGTTCTCGGACGCCCAAGAAAACCCCAAGACGGCCCAGGAGGCCCCCAAGAGGCCCAAAGAGTGCTCCATGAGGACACCCAAGAGGGCCCTACGAGGCTAAAACCATTGATCTTCCATTGGTTTCTGAGGGATTGTGGTCTTCTCACCATTTTCAGATTCCAACGCTCCACTGACCCGAGAAGCCCCAATAGCGCCCCAGGACTGCCAAAGAGATCCCCAAGAGGGCCCCAAGAAGTCCCGAGAGGGTACCAAGACAGCCCAAGAGGCCCTCAAGCCAGCCCAAGAGGCACCCAAGAGGGCCACAAGCGGGACCCAAGAGGGGGAACACGAACGATAAGTTTAAGCCTTCCGCCCCAAGACGGCCCCAAGAGCCCCCAGAGGCTCCCGAGGCGCCCCCAAGACGGCCCCACGAAGCCCCCGAGAGGCCCTCAAGACGCCCCACGAGGCCCCACAGAAGCCCCCTGGAGCCCTCCAAGTCCCCCCAGAGGCATCCCAAAAGGTCCTCATATACATCCAAGAGGCCTCTGAACCACAGCCCAGGGATGGTGCGGGATGGGCCGAAGGCCACTAGATTATCGTCATGGCGATCCGCCTTCTCATCGTTACCGCTATCGTTGGCCCTGCTGGTCCCGCGACTGTCGACCTCCCTTTTCGCCGACTCCCCCTCGCCCCTCCCCCCTCCCACTCCCTCCCCCTCCGCCCTTGCCCTCCTTCTGGCTCCCCTCGCCACACCCCCGTCCTCTCCCAAGACGAGGAGGAGGAGGAGGAGGAGGAGGAGGAGGAGGAGGAGGAGGAGGAGGAGGAGGAGGAGGAGGGGGCGGAGGAGGAGGGGAGGAGGAGGAGGAGGAGGAGGAGGAGGAGGAGGAGAACCGGCCCCACCGCGGGAGGGGCCCCAGAGGACTTGCGGGGCGGACCCCGTCGCGCGCACCGAGCATCCGCGTGCGCCCCGCGGAAGGAGGTCAGCGCGCGGCCCTCTGCTCGCTCTGCGCCGCGGGCGGAGCCGACGGTGCGCCCCGAGGAAAATGCGCAGCTCGCGCCGAATGCCCCCATCCCCCGCCGTCGTCACCGCCCAGCTCCTCCCTTTGGCTCTCTCTCTCTCTCTCTATCCCTCTCTCTCTGGCTCGCTCTCTCTCTCTCTCGCTCTTTAGCGTTCTCACTCTCCTGCTGCCGCCGCCGCCGCCATCGCCGGCGCCGCCAAAGCAGCTGCATGCCCCTTGCTCATGCCCACTGTCCTCGCCCCCCCTCCCTTCCCCCTCTCCATCCCTTCCGTCCCCCTTCCGCTCCCTCTCCATCCCCCTTCCTCTCCCGGCTCATTCCATCATCTCGCCGCCCCCCCTCTCTCTCGACACGCCCTCCCTCCTCTCCTCCTCCCTCCCTATCCTCCTCCTCCTCCTTCCTCTCCTCCTCCTCTCTTTCTCCTCCTACTCCTTCTCCCCTCCTCCTCCTCCTCCTCCTCCTCCTCCTCCTCCTCCTCCTCCTCCTCCGCCTCCTCCTCTGCCTCCTTGCGCCGCCAGCAGGACATCCACGCACACGGGCCGCCGGAATCCTGCACCGGAAATATCGGAGGCCAGCGGTGGCCGTGGCCAGTTGTCCCCGCCCCCGGGGGCGGGAGGGCGCCCACCTCCCACCCGCGCCTGGAGGGGCCGAGGTCCCTTTGGGCCCGACTCCGAGGCCGTGGCCGTGGATCCTGCACTTCGGCACCGCGGTCGGCCTGCCTGTCCTCCTTCGGCCCTCCCCCCATCGGCGCACTCCGAGGCTCGGCGCTCCGAGAGCCGCCTGCCTGTACGGGGCGCACGGCGCAGCAGAGGTGGCGGGCCTACAGCGGCGAGCGCGGCCGCGCGGGGGGAGCGCGGGGGAGCGCGGGAGCGGGGAGGCGGGAGCGGGAGCAGGAGCCCGCAGGCCCCCGCGGAGCTCATGGGCCCCCGCGGGCCCGCGGAGCACCCGGCGGCGGAAGAGCGTGGCCCCGAGGAGCTGCGGCCCCTGCGGTTGAACCCGCGGGCCCGCGTGCGCCCCGCGGGCCCAGGCCCGTCCCGCGGCTGCGAGAGCTTCGTGGGCCCTCCTCCTCCTCCTCCTGCTCCTCCTCCTCCTCCTCCTCCTCCCCGTCCGCCTCTTTCACGTCTCCCTCCTCCTCCTCCTCCTCCTCCTCCTCCTCCTCCTCCTCCTCCTCCTCCTCCTCTTCTTATTATTATTCTTATTATGATTATGATTCTGATTCTTATTATTATTATTATTATTATTAGTAGTATTAGTATTAGTAGTATTATTATTTCTATTATTATTATTGATGATATTATTATTATTAGTATTATTATTATTAGTAGTAGTATTATTATTATTCGTAGTAGTATTATTCTTATTATTAATATCATTGGTATTCTTAGTCTTATTATGATTATTATTAATAATATTACTAGTATTATTAGTGTTATTATTATTAGTCGTATTATCATCATTATTATTATCATTAATAATAATAATAGTGTTATATTATTATTAGTATTAGTAGTAGTAGTAGTAGTAGTAGGAGTAGTAGTATCATTATTCGTATTACTGTTATTATCACTATTAGTCTTAATATTAGTAGTAGTAGGAGTAGTAGTAGTAGTAGTAGTAGTACTACTAGTAGTAGTAGTAGTAGTAGTAGTAGTAGTAGTAATATTAGTACTACTACTAGCACTAATACTAGCATCATTGTCATTAACAATATGATTCGTCTTAATATTAGTCTTAGTATTATTATTCTTGTTATTATTAGTACTTTTATTCGTATCATTCTCATTCGCACCATTATGAGTATTATGAATATATATATATATATATATATATATACATATATGGTCAGTACTCTTATTCTAAGTATTAGTATTATTGGTATTATTATTCTTATTAGTATTAAAAGTATTATCATTATTCGTCGTATTCTTCTTACTATTATTAGTATTAGTATTATTCGTATTAGTATTCGTATTATTCTTAGTATTCTTATTAATAATATTCTTAATAGTACTCTTAATATTATTATGTTAGTATGATTCGTTGTAGTGGTCTCCTCTTTTTCCTCCTACTATTATTAATAGTATGAGTACTCTTCTTAGCATTCGTATTAGTAGTAGTATTATTCTTAGTCTTAGTATTAGTGTTGTTACTCTTATAATTAATAGTAGTAGTAGTAGTATATGTATTGGTATTAGTGTTAGTAGTAGTATTATTACTCGTAGTCGTATGATTGTTCTTCTTCGTCGTCTTATTATTATTGTTCGTAGTCGTATTAGTCTTCTTTCTTAATATTATGTTTATTATTGTGATTATTATGAGTTTATTAATCTTAGTCTGATTATGCTTGTGTGTCTGATTATGCTTCTTATTATTCGCATTAGTATTCGTATTCGTATTCGTCTTCTTCTTGTTCTTGATAGTATTACTATGATGCGTAGTATTATTATTATTATGATGAGTAGTTTCCTCCTCCTCCTCCTCCTGCTCCGCCTCCTCCTCCTCCTCCTCCTCCTCCTCCTGCTCCTCTCTCCTCCTCCTCTCCTCCTCCTCCTCTCCTCCTACTCCTCCCCCCCCCCCCCCCCTCTCCTCCTCCTCCCCTCCTCTCCTCCTCTCCTCCGCCTCCTCCTCTCCTCCTCCTCCTCCTCTCCTCCGCCTCCTCCTCCTCTGTCCTGTCCTCCTCCTCCTCCTCCTCCTCCTCCTCATCCTCCTCCTCCTCCTCCTCCTCCTCCTCCTCTCCTCTCTCTCCTCTCCTCTCCCCCCTCCCCCCCCTCTCCTCTCCTCCTCCTCCTCCTCCTCTCCGGCCATCCTCTCCTCCTCTCATCATCCCTCCTCCCCTCATCTCCTCTCCTCCTCATCCTCCTCCTGCTCCTGCGCCTGCTCTCCTCCTCCTCCTCCTCCTCCTCTCCTCCTCCTCACCTCTCTCCACTCTCACTCCTCTCCTCCTCCTCTCCTCCTCCTCTCTCTCCTCCGCCTCTCCCTACTCCCATCCTCCTCCTCCTCCTCCTCCTCCTCCTCCTCCCCCCCTCTCCTCCTCCTCCTCTCCTCCCTCCTCCTCCTCCTCCTCCTCCTCCTCCGCCTCATCCTCCTCCTCCTCCTCCTCCCCCTCTCCTCCTCCTCCTCCTCCTCCTCCTCCTCCTCCTCCTCCTCCTCCTCCTCCTCCCCGCCGGACTCGGCCTGCAGACCCGCAGGTCCGCGAACACCCTCCCAGGAGGGCGAGATGTCTGCCGATCCAGACGGTGCTGGGCCGGCCTCGATGTCGACGGGGTGTGGGGAGAGACATGCGCCGCCAGCAGACATCCACGTCCACGGCCGCTCGAGTCCTGCCCTGGAGATCCCCAGGGAGACCTGGATGTGGATACCGGCCCGCCCTCGTGGGGCGGACAGACATCCACATCCACCACTCCTCGAGAGGTTCTCGAGGTCCCTGGGGGACGACTCCGAGGCGGCGGACATCGACATACTCTGGCGGCCGAAGGGCTGGGCGGCTCGGAAATGGGCACCGACACCAACACGGCAGGTTGCCGCCACCGGGGGGAGACGATCCTGGATGGTGGCGCTGGTGGTAACTGTTCGGTCACCTAGGAAGCCCGAATATCACCGCCGTCACCGAGATCGGGATCGCCTTCCCTCGGTGGACGAAGAGGCCCAAGGACGCTCAGAGAAATACACACAAATCCCAAGATTCCCCGTAGTTCCCAATATTTCCTGGGTTTTCGTCCTCCCCCCACTTCCCGTTTTTCCCCATATTTTCCGGGGAGTCGACGATTGATCGTGTCTGTGCGTTTTTCCCCTCCTGAGTGGAGGCAACCGCCGATATTGGCGTTGGTGCCAACCTCTCGGCCTTCGAGGAACAGCAGGAGAGGAAGAGCCGGGCCACCGTCAGGAGGCGCCGCCCGCTGCTGCGCCAGGGGCGCCGCCGCCGCCGCCGCTGCCCGAGGCAGAACCTTGGCGCGGGCGGTCGCGGGCCGACTGTCGATGCAGAGGCGCAGAAAATCCGACCGAAGCAAGATCGGCGGCGAGCGATGGGGGGGAAGCGAGAAGGAGAGGGCCCTCTCAGAAGGGCGCGGGACTTATCAGAGCCCTCGCGCCTTCTGGGACAGTTTTCTGTGCCTTCGGGGAACGCTTAGACAACTTCTCAGAATGCTGGGCAACTTCGGAGCTTTCTGAGAAGGCCCGCCCCTTCTCACTTCCACCCCCTGGGCTCGCCGCCGACAAAAACGTACAGGAGGTTCTACATTCCCAATATGAAATGGGACGCACAGAGACATACTAGTACTGAATATCCTCCTTGGAGGTGCGCGTCCGACCCGAACATATAATATAGTATACCCATCTAGTAGTATATCGTTTCCCGAGCGGGTTGGCCAGAAAGCGCCCGCCACGACGCATGTACTATATGGCTTCTCGGTGCGCGCGTCGCCCCTCGGGGGGGCGACGCAGATATAGCAGAAAACATGGCCATGCCCGTCCTGAGCCCAGAACGGGCCTGCCAGATCTGGCTTTATAGTGCCACTTGTGTCCCCGAAAGATCGGGTCAGGAGCGTGAGGGCGTCAGGCTCTACTTCGCTGTGCGCCTGTACCTCCAGCAGGACCCTCCGCCGCGCGCTCCGTTCCCACCAAGGGCACGACGTGTCACTGCGGCTGTAGTGGGACGCCTGGACGGCCGCAGACACAGTGCACCTCAGGGTGCTAGTTCAGCCGGCGTGCACCACCCTTCTGTAGGCCAAAGCCCCGCAAGCCCTTGGAGGCTTGCCCGAAATAATACCGCCGAGGCACCACCGAAGCCGGAGGCTCCTGGACGAGCTCGGGTCATCCACGAAGGAGAATGAAGCATGCGGGACACGCGGGAAGTGAAATTGCAGCCACCGTGCTGCCACACGGAGCGGTACATGGGGAACGAAGGGGCTCTTCTGGAAAACCAGCCCCCTCCCGAGGGGCATCCGAACCCCACCCGCGCCAACCACATCGGGGGATAACCCTGAAAGGTTTGTAGAACCCCCCCTCCCAATTGGGAGTAACTAGTTGTTTGTTCGGCGGCCTTATCGAGGCAGGAGGGGGAGGAGGAGGAGGAGGAGGAGGAGGAGGAGGAGGAGGAGGAGGAGGAGGAGGAGGAAGAGGAAGAGGAGGAGGTCTTAGGACCAGTCCTATTCACCGCCGGCAGACAAAGGGGGGACCAAAACTGAAGACCGTTAGCGGTTGGGGCTCGAATACTTCGCCACTCGCTCGACGGATTCCGAAGCCCGCCCCCGCCGCCCATCGACTTGCCGGCATCGCTGCCGAGCGCGAGAGTAGGCCTCGGACTTCCCCGCCGAGGAGGGCCCGACCGCCGTGCGGTCAGGTCGGGCATGTCCCCCTAGAGGCGGATTTTGGACGAACAAACCTACATACCCCGCCCCCCCCGCCCAAAAAAAGAACGCCCAAAGAATTCAAAAAACATGTGTTGCTTCTTTTTATGATAGAACATCCAAACAACTCTAGTTCTAAACTCTTTAAATTGTCGCCCAGTAGAAGGACATGCCCGACCCCCTGTAGGAGGAGAAGGCGGCGGAAGCGCCGCCAGGGTGGCCCCGCGCGGATCTAAGAAATCCGCGCGGAGCGCCAAAAGTTTTTGTTCATGTTTCTTCTTCGACGAATCGCTGCTGAGCGCGAGGGTGGGCACGGCCGCCGTGCGGTTAGGTCGGGCATGTCCCCCTACCGGCGGATGTTGGACGAAGAATGAAAAATACACAAAAAATGCCCCAACGTTGTCAAACATAATCATATCGTTTAACCAAGAAACTTTGTTTTTCAATTGCTGATAATAACACATATAAATAATAATGATTATTGTTTATATGAAAAATCCCCTGGCGATTTCTTCACCATTTTGGGGCCACTCCTCCTGCAGAGGGACACGCCCGACCTAAGTCAAGGGGCCATGGGACACACAAGTAAATACATACAAATGACAGGATTCCCGATAGTTTCCCATATTTTCTGGGTTTTTGTCTTCCCCCCCACTTCCCATATTGTCCCATATTTTCTGGGGAATCGACGATTCATTGTGTCTGTGTGTGTGTGTGTGTGTTTTTTCCCTCCTGACTGAGGGCAGGTCTCGGCCTTTCCCCTCCGAGGAGGGCACGGCCGGCACGCGGGCACGGCGCGAGGGCGGGGCGGAGGGCGCACGGCGCGGGCTCCCGCGGGGGCAGCCGCGCGCGCGGCTGCCACTGGCCCAGCCACGGCCAGCTGCGCCGTGCTGCACGCGTTGGGCTAGCAGCGCGCAGAGGGGGGCAGGAGGAGGGGGGAAGGCTTCTTTCCGGTCGGGCGAAAGGGGGGGATAGCAAAGGGGGGTTCGAGAATCAGCTCACGTAGCTGATCTTCCCGGCGCCTCCCCCGGCGCCGGAGGCGCCCATGTGGTAGAGGATTGGGCCCCGGCGGCGGGGCCGAAACCAGCTGCATGCAGCAAATTTCGTAACCCCCCCTTTCCCAATCCCCCCCTTTCGCCCGGCCCGATTCTTAGAAGCACCCCTGCTTCTCAGAAGGCCTCGGCCTCCCCGGCCTTACGTCTACAGAGGCCAGCGCCCTCTGAGAAGCCGGGGTGCTTCGAAGAAGCCTTCCCCCCTCCTCCTACCCCCTCTGCGCGTGGCCGGGTGGGGTTGGGTCGGGCATGTCCCCCACCAGGCGGGTGTTGGACAAAAAAATTAAAGAGATTCCCCCCCAACCAAAAAAAACGAACAACCCCCCCCCCCCAAAAAAAAAAACAACAGCAAAAATCGGCCCCAGACTGTTTTTTTGACTAGTTTTGAATAGTCCTCCTGCAGAGGGACACGCCCGATTTCATGTTGGGGCGCAGGGGTACCTCAGGACGAAGCCAGGGCAAGGACAAAATCGGGTGAGGACGAGTCGAGAGTCTCTGAGCTCCGGCGGCTCTGGAGGAGGCATGGGGTGTCCCAGCTCTGGAGGATCTGCTCTAAGAGCTTTCCGGTACGCTCTGAGAACGGATTTATCCTCGTCCTAGCCTTAGGTCGGGCATGTCCCCCTGCAGGGAGATTTTGGGCGAAACATCCGCCGCCCCCTGTCGATTCATCGCAGGGGTGCCTGGCGTGCCGAATTTTTACGGTTCCAAAAGAACTCCCCCTGGGGCTTCGGCCTGTCCCGCCAGGGTGCCCATCTCGTCGGCTTCTTCGCTCAAGATGGCTCAAGATGGCCTCTAAGATGGACAAGATGGCCTCCAAGACGGCTAAGATGGCCCCAAGATGCCTCCAAGACGGCCCAAGATGCACCCAAGACGGCCTAAGATGGCCTCAAGATGGCTCAAGACGGCCCAAGAGGCCCCCAAGAGGCCTCCAAGACTGCCCAAGAGGCTTCCAAGAGGTCCTCCAGGAGGGCCCGAAGAGGCAAAAATCATTGATTTCCCTTCGGTTTTCCCCATATCCTAAGATGGGGTTCTTGTTCCCCATATCCTAAGATGGGGTTCTTGTTATTACTTGGACGCCTCCTACTCCTCCTCCTCCTCCTTCTTCTTCTTCTTCTTCTTCTCCTTCTCCTCCCCTCTCCTCCTCATACCCAGACTTACTCATACACAGACTGACTCACACTCAGACTTACTCATACCCAGATGTTCCCCATATCCTAAGTATGGGGTTCTTGTTATTGGCGGACCGCGCCGGAGGAGAGAACGAGAGAGAACACACCACTCCTCTCACTCAGACCCACTCACTCATCACTCAGACTCACTCATCACTCAGACCCACTCATCACTCAGACTCACTCATCACTCAGACTCACTCATCACTCGGACTCAGTCATGACTCAGACTCATCACTCATCGCTTAGACTCACTCATCACTCAGACTCACTCATCACTCAGACTCACTCATCACTCAGACTCACTCGTACTTGTACTCATACATTCACTACACTCACTCAGGTCCACTCATCGGATGACTCACACACACACACACACACACACACACACACACTGATGATGAGGATGTCTCAAGCGATTCTGTGGCTTCAGCACTCCTACGGGGAGCGGCGGTGGGGTGTTTCACTCGGCCCCTTTCGCATGATGTTGTGGGGATGTCTCGAGCGGTTTGCCTGTTTTCTGTGCCAACGTCCTTCGCTTTCGGAGCAGATTTGGAGGATGCCTCGAGCGAGGCGCTCATTTTTACGTTCTTAAGGGGAGCGGCGGGGGGGTGTTTCACTCGGCCCCTTTCGCAGGATTTTGCGGGGATGCCTTGAGCGGTTTGCCTGTTTTCTGTGCCAACATCCTTCGCTTTCGAAGCAGATTTGGAGGATGTCTCGAGCGAGGCGCTCATTTTCACCCCCCAGGTGGGCCAGATGTTGAGGATGTCTCAAGCGGTTTGCTTGTTTTGGTGGCCAGGCTCGTGGGCGCAGAATCTTCTCAGGATGCCACAGGAGGCTCCGACAGGCTCCAGGAGGCCCCAGGAGACCACATGAGGTCCCAGGAGGCATCAGGAGGCCACAGAAAGACCCAAGAGGCCACATGATGTCCCAAGAGGCTCCAGGAGGCCCCAGGAAGCTCCAGAAGGCCTCAGGAAACCACAGGAGGCCCCAGGACGCAACAGGAAGCGCCAGGAGGCCTCGGAAGGCAACAGGAGGCCCCGAGAGGCCCCAGGAGCAGGAGGCCTCAGAAGGCAACAGGAGTGGCTCCAATCCCATCTGTTTTACGTATGCTCCTATCGATTGGGCCTCACCTGGAGCACGATTCTTTGATGTTATATTTATGTTTCTATAGATTGTCCTTCTCCCGTGTTTACTTATGTTCCTATATATTGGGCCTCTCCTGGGGCACGAGTCCTTGGTGTTTTACGCGTGTTCATATAGATTGCCCTTCTCCTGTGGCTCTAATCCGCAATGTTTTATGTACGTCTGTTGCTGTATATTGCGCCTCCCCTGGGGCACGAAACCTCCCTAGGAGGTCCCAGGAGGCCCCAA